ACGAGATTTGTTGGGGATGGGAGTGTGAGTGTAAATATAATGGTAGGGAGGTAAGGAGAGGGCAAACTCAAAGTTCTTATTAATTAATTGTACATCCCTCCCTATATATTAATTCAAAACGTGTTGAGCCTATGTGGCAGATTCTCACGCTTCGAATGCTAACATGGCGAAAATCTATGCTTCGTAATGTTGTTTTTATATTATTTTCGCTATGGAGTTAGGTTAGTATTAGACATAAATAATTTTACACATATATTCATTAACTCAACACTCATGTTTTACATGGATATTACTACTAGTTATGATATGATAGTGAATTAGGCATGGAGTTATATTGCTAGGTAGTTTGGAGTCATTTGCTTCATAAATTTTGGGTATTCACTGTTTGCATGTGGATGTGAGGAAATTTGTTAAATCTCGAACATAAGTGAGGAAATTAATTAAATCCAGTGTTCTAGAAGTGTTAGGCGCCCGTTAGGTTCCCGACCAGTGCCTAGCGCCTAGAGCGCCTAGTTGGGGCCTAGGCGGCGCCTAGGCGAGGCCTAGAAATTATAATAAATATATTATTTTTTATTTATTTTTACAATTTCACTAATGAAATTATAACTTATAATTAATAAATCCATACACCTAAGTCTCAATAATATTATTAATATTATATTATAAAAAAACTCTAAGTCAAGATAAGTACATAATCACAATATAACTTCTTCTCACTGTAATTTTATCAAACACATTATCTACATGTTATGTTTTAAATATTACACAACATAAGATAAAAATAAAAAATTATAAAATAATAAATTATAAGATTTATTATTTAAACTAAATGCATTTAGTAAAAAAAAAAAATGTAAAAACCGCCTAGAACCCGCCTCAGCCGCCTAGTCCCGCCGAAACCGCGTAGCCGCCGAGGCCGCCTAGCTCGCCTAGGCCCGACTAGGCGCCGCCGAGCCCGCCTGGCCAATTTTTATGACCGATTTGGCCAAATCGTAGGCGTTGTACCGGCGCCTAGCGCCTAGGCGACGCCTAGACGGCCGCCTAGGCCGACTTTTCGAACACTGGTTAAATCATGAACATAAATGGAATTTTTCTTGGTTGCTAATTGAAAAATGGTTCGAATTTGTTACTGAGGAAGGATAGTAATAGCAAAATATTAGCAAAATATTAGCAAAATAGTAATACTTAGGAAGGATAGTAATACCATTAAAAAATGCACATGCACACTTAATTAGAGAAATCAAAGTACAGAACAAAATAAAAGCTTTTACAAAACTAAGTTTTGATTTTAAAAGAAATTAGCCAATTGAAGGATCCTCCAAAAGCCTTATGGACGATGGCCTTCTCCCAGTCAACCTCTCCCATTCAGCCTCAGTCTGCTCTGACCTGGATCTGCCTTTTCCTAGTCAGCCTCTCCCATTCAGCCTTCGTCCCTCTCCCATTCAGCCTCAGTCTCATAGAAGTTCTGACCTGGTTCATCGAAGGTCTGACCTCTTAGTTTTCGGCCGCCATTTACACAATACCATATAAAACATGCACAACCCTTACTTTTTATTCTTATCAATATCAATATATCCCAACTATTTTATTATACCACTCACTCATTCATTCACTACTTATCAAGATCAAAACACCATAACCATCTTATTATACCACTCATAACTCAACTTCTCTTATTTATAAACCTACCCTTCTCTCTAAAAAGAATTAGTAGAACATATTTGCCCCTTCGAATCTATTTACTGTCAACTAATACTATTCCAAGTATTACGATTAACTTAAAATATTTCAAATTTATTCACAAAATTCTATAACATAAGTAACATCTATAATATTCCAGTAGCCTCCACCAAACTTATTTTCTTGGCTCTAAAATATTACACATCCTTCCGTAAGGTCTTATACAAATCACGTCTAGAATAGGAAATAAAATATTAATACTCTTAAAAATGACTATAAATATCTATTATATTTATAGTTGTTCCGAACTTAATTATTTTTGAATTTAAAGTAAATTAAAATTTATCCAAACCAAATGACAAAGCATGAAAATTTGCTACATAGATCCAGAATCATGAGATTATGCCACCTAGGTTCAGCATATTCTGTAATTATATATAGGCGGATTATCAAACACTTAATAACTAATACTCTAGCATGAAACAGAAAAATATTGAGTAGTTAAGTGAAAAAATAATCAAAAATACTAAAATACTAATTTTGTCATCTATAGGTATTAATCAATTTGCTTTTAGTGCGTGAGTTCAAGTGGTGATTGGTGGAAGGTGAAACTTCCTTTAAAGCCAAATGTCACGAGATCGATCATGACTATCATGGAGCATTACAATCTTTATAGGAGGATTAGTCTCACCCTTCCCCGTGGGGATTCCCTAGGCATGATAGGCCCTTGCCGTTAGTCGGTGAGATGCAGTGGGTGGTAAAGTCATGGAGTGAATGTGTGAATACTTCTCAGTTGACAAAAAAAAAAAAAGTTAATAATCAATTTTACTATGAGACTTCCACATAGATTTGTTTATATATATATATATATCGTGAAATTTAGAAATAGATTATTTTTTTTAGATTTAACATTATAATAAGAATATTTTTTCCTTATTCAAAAAAATAAATAATATACATAACATAA